TTTCTAAAAGCTACAAAATAACATATATAATATCATCAAAAAAGATAATTACAAGAAAAATAAAACAACATTACGTCATTTCCCCAAAACTTGTAGAAAAATGCATAAGAAAATGNATTTAATCAAAAAATTAAGATAATGGTATTTTTCAAATATATTCTGTTAAATTGTGGAGGAGAGTTACGTGTTTTTTTTGTCACACAAACATTGTACTATATATACAATATAAATAAACCTTATATAAATGCATTATATAATGCTTTTTTAAACATAAATTCCACACTTGGCAATTCAAATAAAGAATATGTGCTTACTACAATATTGTAAGTGAGTTAAAAGAGAAACAAAACTTTCAAATTATAAGAAAACCAAAATAATTTTAGTGTATATATAAAATATTTCATATTGCTCTTACATTTGCGGCGACAGGAAAATAGTNGCAATAAAAAATGTCTTTAATTTCGGGCGTGGCAACTTTTGCTAATCTTTCCGACATTTCAATAATTGATTCTTATACTTTGACACAAAAATATTCCTGTAGCGAGTTTAACCAAATTTCGGAAGCAATCTTATCAAAATGTTTATTATTTTATTTCTTAGATATGCTAACCAAGTTTGCATAACAATTATATAATAGATTAGTATTTTTGAAGGTTACATGATATTTTGACATTTAGCACATGACCGTACCAAGACCAGAGCCAAAGTCAAATTGTCTTCTAGGCTTGAATTCTTTGTCACATGTTCTGAATCCTATATATATATAACCGCATAATTTTGAACTTCTCTACCAAGCTTCTCTCACGTAAATGAGTTTATCAAAANTAATTGATTGCTAATTGTATACATTGGTCTTCAAGATTTGTCTTGCTCTTCTATCCGTACAAAATCTATGTCTTCTATAGATATTTTCTGATTACGATTAGCATTCAAACGTTCTTCTACTTTTTGTAATTTTTCTGGCAGTTGTGATTGCTCCAGCGGCGAATGGCGACCATGCAAATGGCGAAATAATTTTTTTTACACTTTCTTTCAATTCTTTCAAGCTTATGTTAATTTTTTCTGAAAACTAATATTATAAAATGGTGTACACAAGTGATTTTTTATATATTATGACAAATGTTACAATATACTATGACAACTTTACAATATATTATTATATAAATGTTTGTGAACATATTAATGATATACACAATTGTGTATTCCGTACCTTTCGAGATATTTTCTGTTTCTTTTGATGCCCATGCTGAGAATACTGGTTTTCTAGGTTTGACAATACCAAGATGATGCTTATATTTTAGGCCATTGTTAGAAATCAAATTTAATGTTTCATCATCGAGTATAGCTTTTGGCTTTGCTGACAACTGAAAATGCAAGTCTTTTATTATCATATTCTAATCTTATTTATTATATCTAAGCATGTGATGTCATACAATAGAAAATTTATATCACACATCGTAAAGATAGAAATCTTGTCCAATGTACTCTTGGCACAACTAGCTTCACCATATTTTATATAATAAAATTAAACCTC